GTATGTATGTATGTATGTATGTATGTATGTATGCATGTATGTATGTATGTATGTATGTATGTATTTAGGTAGGTACCGATAGGATCCAAAAGTCTGAGCCTGAGTTTACGTAATCAGGCTAATATTTACACAGGTGATATTTTTTAGACAAGATTACGTAAATTTTTACTAGCATGTTAGTCAGCCAATGTAAGTCAACAAAAGTTTGTATTTACCGACAGTCAAAATATCTCAGCATCTGGTCTGACTAGCTTTTGCCTTAATTATCACTTGTATCCTGTCTGATGTCGATTCGAAAGTTTTTGCAGAATTTAATATTTCACAATATTCTAGCACTATTGTAGAGAAGCCTTGAGAGCGTGTTGTGGTGTTAAAATAGGTGTCACCTCTTTGCTTTTTGCAAATGAAAGGAAAAAGTGGCTTATTTTTCTGTTTCTTGCATTTCCTGGACTATCAGTAGAGATGTATCAAGAAATCCAGTCATTCGAAACTTTGTAAACATGATCTACTGCTTCAACCGTAGACAAAGAGCCAAGATGGTCTGGCCTCTATTTTGGTCGCGGCCCCCTTTCGATGTACAGAAGTGGTCTGACCTCGTTTTCGCAACTTAGTCGTGTTGTCAAGGTGACCTACTTCGACGTTCCTTGTCCGAAGTCATCTGCTCTCGTAGTTGCCATAATCCAAAGCAGTGGTGTCAGGACTTGACACACTTCCAGACGTTTTGTTGGCATCGTCAGTGCGTTTTGCTGGTCCTGGCAACAGACGACATGCCTTTGGCGGCCTGTTTCTTTGACGAGTTGTTGCTTTGCCTCGAGGATGGCAAAACTAGCTGACAATGCTGACGATGAGGCCAGCGAAACGTCTGGAAGGGTACCAAGTCCAGGCACTACCGCTTTCAACTATGCTAACTACGAGAGCAGAGGAGTCCGAACAAGGTGCGTCTAAGCAGGTCGGCCTGACAACACGACCAAGTTGCGAAAACGAGGCCAGACAACGTCGACAAGATCTACTGTAATCTTCAACATCTAATATCACACAGTTTATTGTCAATATCCCTACAACATACTATATTGTTATATGTAATAATTAATTAATACATGATTAAAGATATATA